CTTATTACACCACCACCAACAAGCAAATCGCTTTGGATCTGGTGGAGCTCATGAAGGGCTTCTATGCGTTGCATCCGGAGTTTAAGCAAACGCCTTTGCATATTTTCTGTGAGAGTTATGGAGGCAAAATGGCACCGGAGTTTGCTCTGGAGCTGTACTATGCCATACAACGAGGTGAGATCGAGAGCAACTTCCAGTCAGTAGCTCTCGGTGATCCCTGGACATCCCCCATTGACTCTGTGCTTTCCTGGGCGCCTTACCTGCTCCAGTTAGGCATTGTCGATCAGGATGGCCATGATAAAATCGAAGCCGCAGCTTTGAAGACCAAGAACCTGGTTGATGGTGAAAAGTGGACACAGGCCACACTTCAATGGAGCCTCACGCAATCGGTGGTACTCCGTGAATCGAAGGGTGTGGATTTCTATAATGTGGAGAAGCCCACACGCGGTGATAAGTATCTGAGGCTGTTGGCAGAAATGAATCCGGAAGGTGAGCTATGACTTTCCAAATTAATAAACTATTTCTAAAGCTGTATTTATAGAGCGCATGTATAATACCTTGGTGCATTTTGACATTAATGAGGATCGAGTTAAACTGCTAGAGGATCTGATGCGGGGACCTGTAACCGAAGCTCTTGACATAACCGACATCACGTGGGGCGCGCAACGTAAGACAACTTTCAACCAACTTATGGGCGACCTTATGAAGCCAGCTGTTCATATTGGTAGGTCGCTTTGACATATGTACATATGTATGTAGAAAGTATGAATATGCATATGTACATGTATTGTATATGGAATTGATATATTTTATAACAATATTGTGTTGGCATAGTTGAGGAGCTGCTCAACAGCACAACTGTTCAAGTTGGTGTCTATTCGGGCAGCTTGGACTTGATATGTGCCACGCTCGGTGCGGTCAACTGGATTGGCAGTATGAAATGGAATGATAGGGACAAATATTTGAGTAGCCCTCGCGTTGGCATAACCGTGGATCACGTGCTGGAGGGATACCAGAAAGCAGCTGGAAATTTCAGCATGTTCTGGGTAAAACGCTCCGGTCATATGTTGCCCGCTGACAATCCAGCTGCCATGTCACATATTCTGCAACATTATACGAAATTTGGTTTAGATAGGCGAGGACGTTTGTAATGAATCAAATAACGAATTCAATTTAAACATGTAACATACATAGTATATATATATATATGATTTATACAAATATAAACAGACAGTTAGTTATGCATGCTAAAGTTTAAATCGTTTTGATGCGATCGAATTGAGTCTTAAACAAGTTGAGTCAAATGTATATCAAATTCGTGCTGCCGTTCGTAAAGTTCTCGCATGCGCAATGCAATGCGAGAGCGAATTGGTAAATATAAATGGAAAATTGCAACCCTCTCTCGCTCTAGCCTTCATATACAAACGTGAGTGTGTGTGTGTGCTTGCGTTTGCTGCTGCCATTATCTGACGTTGTAGCACACACACACACATCAATACTCACTTACATACACGCACACAAGTTAAAGTGCGCGCTGCTTGGACGCTTATCACGAAGCTCTCCGCCGGCGCAGAAAAGTACTCTCAATGCGCATTCGCGTTCACACAACGAACAAACACACGGAGCAGCAGAATGAAAACGGCAGCCGCTGGCAGCGGGTGGGCAGCTATTTTTATACATATAAAACGCTGTTCTAGTCGGAAAAAATTTATAAACAATTGAACACGTGTGCGCATGCATTAACTCTGCTTCTAAACAACAATAAGAATAAAAAGTGTAAAGAAAAGTGCATACGAAACTACAAACAAAACGCCAGAAAAGAGAAAAAGAAAAATCAAGAACAGGCGACGTTTTGTTGCTGTCAACGCGCATAATCGTAGCCATCTCACACGGACGCACTCAGTCACACACAGACACACGCATACATATGTAGCCCACGTATGCATGTGTGCCCATAACAGAATCGTGCGTTAAAGAGAGCGCAGGGAATAGGTTGCAGTGCACAGGGTGAGTCAGCGCAGCAAAACAAAACAATAATGCTTAAAACAACAACGGGCAATAACATTTAGCGTATCGTTTTAGGTGCAATTAAATAATATAATTTTGAAGGAATTAAATAACCGCAAATACGGCAATGCGTGTGCGCGACAAACGCAAGCAGCACAAAGAGCAAAAGGCTCAAAAAGGCAGCGATAAACAAAAGGTAAACAATGTTATTTTTTTGCTGTGCTGATATTAACCTTGATGAGTTTGTCTTTGTAGCCAGTTACAGCTGATGTTGAGGAAAAGCCAATTAAACCAGCAACAACAGCAGCAGTGGTAACAGCAGCATCAACACCAATTGCAACAGCAACCAAAGCAACAGTAACAACATCCAAAGCGATAACGACAACAGCCAAAACACCACCAACAGCATCAAAGGCAACAGTAACGCGCCAGTCGCCACCATTGCCGCCATTGAATCCTTCGGATAGGATTGCTTTTGATAATCGCATCAAGCGAAAAAATGTCTTAGCGCTAAATGAAAAGGTGGCTGCTCTGCGAGAATATGATCGACAGCCGGTGTACAAGCATGTGGGCCGAATGTTCCACTGCAGTCCGGATCAGATCAAACGCATCGTGCAACAGAAGGAGCAAGTGATGCGGGCATGGGAGCAGCGCACCAGACGCTGCCAAGACAACAAAACGCAAGAACTGAAGGTGGTGAGGGTATCGATGCTGGGCAAGGCTGTCTTCGAGTGGATACGCCGCATGATGTACTACAAGGACTTCATCATATCGGATGGACTGATACAGAAGATGGCATTGCAATTCAAGAGCTCTATGGGCCTGAACAACTTCTTTCCGCATCAGGAGTGGTGCGACAAGTTTCGTACCACCTACGGCATACACCACAACGATACGAAACTATTGAAGTTTGCGTACTTGCACAGCTCCTCGGTGCAGATCAATGATATAGTCAAGGATGTGATGTCTGAGTGCACGCCAACTAAAGACGTGGCACCGGATCTTATGGACGAGGATGAAGAGGACGAGGAGGACTTCAACGCTACCGTCAGCAACAGCAGCCATCTGGACGACGACGAAGGTGACGTTGATATCGATGGTGGCGGCGATAGCTGCGATCTCGAGCAGCAAGATGTGAAGCCTTCGCTCAGTGAATTAAATGCTCAAATACTGCAACCGCTTCCACAAATTGTGCGACTGCCACAGGTGCCACCCGGCACTTCGCAAAAGGTGCTGCTGGCCACGCCTATCTTGCCACCAGGAGTAGCCCCTGCCGGGGCACAGACCATGACCATCATACCCCTGGCTACGTTGGCGCAGAGCATTACGCAGCGACCAGTGGTTACGCCACCGAAGAAACCAGTTATACCACCACCCAAGGTAGACATAAAGCAGGAGATCAAAACGGAGCCCACAGATACGGACGATCGGGAGGTGGAGCTGACGCTGGAGCTAGCGAAGCAGCAACAAGAGCAACAGCAGTTGCTGCAGCAGCATGCAGAGGAAGCTACTAGGGGGCAGCCAGTCGCTGAGCATGCAGCTGTGTGCATCAAGAAGGAATTGGACAGCGATGGCGAATACATCGACGATGACGATGATGACAACGGTGGCCGTTCCAGCGTTACATCCTTGGCTGAAATATTGGCCGCCAATGTGGATGATGAGAAGCAGTACATTGAGCAGACACGTGCCATGCGCCAGCACAAACGAAGTCGTAGTCCAGCGAGAGAGATTGACACGCCCATGATCACGTTGCCGCCCATGCCCACGTTGACTAAGGCGCCATCTCAGACGCCGACGGCGACTCCGCCTCCGCAGCAGCCGAAGCGTCGACGGCTGGAACAGGAGCAGCAGCTAATGCTGCAAACGCCGCAGCCGCATGACAAGAACAACAATGGTCAATCGATAATTAGCTGTGGGGAGGCTCGCAAGTACCTGAAGCTATTGAAAGAGTTTGCCACGTTCAGGAAAAACACGCGGCTTATTGAATTAACAACGCGCGCCGACGAAGTCCTGTGGGAGCTGGACGACGATAAGGATTAGAAGTAGTCATATATGATGGATGAGTGTACGGATATATGATACACGTGTATATTTAAGAGCTAGTAGCACATCTCGAAGATGCAAATGGATGCAATCAATCATAGAATACTTGTATATTTTTAATTACGTGTACTTTTACCAAATACAACAAACCAAATATAGCACCTACAAATTCAGATCAACTGTTGCATCTCTATAGACAGCTACTACAACTCATGCAAATAATCAAAAAATCAGTCCAAATATATGCGCTGCTTGCCAGTGCGCATGTCTGCCCTTAGTTGGTGGCCGCCGTTGTTGTTGCCGACAACAAGGCGAGGTTGCCACTCTCTTGCATTCGCTCACAGAATTAGCGTGCGCTCACCAATACGGGTACATGGTGTAATTGCATTTGTGTGTGCGTGCGTTTGTGCGGTGGGTGGCAATGCACGCAAGTGCTGTGCACAGGGTGACATTGTAAATAATTGTCCGAAAAAAATATGTTAATTAGCAGTAAACGTGTATGTAAATATCTATATGTACATATATGTATGCCATTAATTTACCAATGTAAATATTTAACATTACCACTTAGTGACATTACGCATGCAGCTTCAATTCACAGCACTAAATGCAACTGATTCAACTTAGGATTTGTCATTGCAATTGTGCTTGCTGTGTATTGAAACCCATGTATTAATGCATAGCCGGCAGCAAATTAACTAGTTTGCTTGATTCTTAGTGCGCATGTCTGCCCTTAGCTGCAGACTTAGCTTGGACAGGCAGCAAAACGGGCATTTCAAACATTTGTATACATACAAACGAACTTACATCCGTACTCATCTACGTACGTATGTGTATATACATTTGTATATATGTACATGTATGTATATACATATGTACATATGTACATACAATCAAACTTGCGTTTTGGCCATGTGGCACAGGGTGGTGTTGGTTACGCCGGGGCAGTTCATAATAAACATTCAAAACAAAACTTTCCATACAAAATAACGTTTTGATAGCAATCGTAAAGTTGTCTATACATTTGACCAATATATACATAACTGACTTGTATATAAGTAAATTAATGAATACATATCGTACCCATTACCTACACTCATGCATGCGTCAATGTACATACATATACACACACTCTCACACGCTTCCACGAACGTCTGTTGATTGATGGACAGTTTACCTAGCCGCACACAGAAATAAACGCAAAAGCAAAGTAACGCACACATACACACAAACATGCTGACACACAGACACGAAACTAATCAATCAATCAATCGACAACAAGCAGCGCTCACAGAGTCACACATCCACCGTCATCGTCGTCGTCAGTCTGTGATTGGTGTTGCCACGAGGAGGTTGTCCAAGTATGTGCATATTGTACATTTATTTAATACGCATTTAATAAGCTAAAAAGTAAGTGAATGATATAAATTGAAAACAAATCAAACATTTACTAAACATTTTCATATTAATAATATCCGCCTTCTGTGTAGTTTGCGCAAAACCTGTAACTCTGTTAACTTACAGAGCTCTGTTAACGCACATATAACGCGAAGTTGGCCGCACAAAATGTCAGGGCTGCTAGATCGATTTATTGCTAATAAGCGACAATTCTGGCGCGAGTTTTTGAAACTCTATCAAGACATGCCAGAACTGTGGGACGTTCATCATCCGGATTATAGGAACAAGGAATTAAGAAACGGATCATACGATATTTTACACAATAAACTAAGAGAGATTCAACCGACTGCAACTAAAAGCGATGTCGGGCGTCGCATAAACATTTTTCGTACAAACTATAGACGCGAACAGATGCGGATTTGGAAGCAACAAGAGTTGGGACTGCATGCGGACTTGTGCAAGCCCACACTATGGTTCTACGACAATATGAGTTTTCTGCTGACGCAGGAGTCCTTTCAGCGCAGAGCACGCAAGATGCGTTGCAAGCCCTATAATAAACCTCAACCAGCGTTAGATTTAAAATATAATGTAAGTTGCAGTTTGTGTATCACTATATATTGTATTGTATACTGATGTATATACTTTTGCAGTACATGATGGATCCATTGGACACTGGTGCAATGAATTCATTACCCAAGTTACCCACCAATGCATCCTCTGAACCTCCACCAACCGAGTTCAGTGAGAGCTTGCTGCTCAGCCCTAAGATTGAAATATTTGAAAATGATTTGGATACCATGCAGGCCGAGACTACGGAATCGAATGATGTTGGCAAAACGGATAATGTCGAGACAAGCGCTTCAGATCTTAACGAGCCATCATGTTCCACATCAACCACATTGACTGTTTTAAAGGGTTCTGCATCGCAGAAGTCAAACATTTCGTTAAGCGAATCCTCCGAGACGTTGGCCAAATCTTGGGCCATCCAATACGAAGAGATGGCCCCCACCCAGCGCATCCTGGCGCGCAAGGCAATCGCCGACATACTATTCGAGGGCTGCATGGGCAATCTGCGCATCAATCGCAACGAGCGATCCACTGTGGATAACTACTTGTGAACATGGACAGGCCGAGACATACTGTTAGTTAAGCTTCTTACTGTAAGAGAGCGTCAGGTCTATATTTGAATCTTGCCCATCAACAAGATTTATGGATATCGTCGCATTTCCGCGAAATGATCGTATGTTTATTTGCCAAATATTACAACTGAATTCGCTCTAGTTTCGAAAACAAAAAATAAATCAATTTCAATTTAAGCGTATGTATACTAACATACCATAACAAAATTAGAAGAACAACTTCTGTAAAGTTACATTTTTCGACAAAAGATCATTTCGGTGGAATGCGACGATATATGTATATCATATGTATCTAGAAATTCGCTAAGCCAAAGAACTTATTTGAGCTGTCATCAACTATGTTTCAGATGTCACTTCCTACAATTTTCTAAACACTAATAAAAAGCGAGTTGTAAAATCTTAATTAGCAAATTGTACAGGTGAGTGAAGCAGCTATGTATGTGTGTGTGAGCAGGTGTGTTGGCCACCCGTTCGTCAAGCAGGCTGCCGCCCATCCGGTGATGCACTTAACGCGTTTGCAAATGATTTGAGCAGCTGTTGCCACTGCACCTGTGCCTATGTCTGTGCCTGTCTCTGTGTTTGTGTGTATGCCTGTGTCTGTGTCTGAATGCCGCCTGCTTTGCCCATTTACCAGCCCAACCGCATGGAAAAATTCAAATCACGGCGAACGGGTTGCCCGAGCTGAGTAGATCAAGCTGCCTGCAACGGCTGGGGTCTAAGTCATTGCAGCATTTTGCACCTGTCGTCCTACGCATGTGAAAATCAAGCACAGCTTTAATTGATACAACAACAGCGGCTACAACTGACGAGGGGAGCCCACAACGGGGCCGAGCTGCTTCTGCCCAGTTGCTGCACGTGTTTGGCTACGACTAGGATACCGAAGTGGGATTTGAAGTAGGCCCAGGGGCTCGAGTCGCGGCAAAAATGTTGTAAAAAATGCGTTGAGCTGCGCAGCTGCTAGGCTGTGAGGTTGGGGCCAAGACTCTGCTTGGGGGAAAAACTGAGCCCTTGACAACAACAACAGCAGCAACAACAGCAACAGACGAATGCAACAACTGCAGCAACAACATGGCAAAGTCTCGCAGCCTTAAATGGGCATTGAAATTAAATGCAGCTGCTTTAATGACGCTGCTGCCTGCACTTGGGCTGCGTATCAAAATGGCCTAAACAAATCTGGGAATATGGCACAGAGACTGTTGCTCTGTTGCTCTGGCTCTGACTTCGGCTGGCTGGTGGGCGTTGCATGTGGCAGTTGTTGCATGGGCGTGGCGCCACAAACATGAAATGCATACAAGCGACTGCGCCGGTGGCCGCTGCAGCGTGGTGGGCGCCAGTTAACAAAGAAAACACTAACAGCAACATCGGCAACAACAACAACAACGGCAACAGCAACTTTTGCCTTTTTGGGCCGTTTAATGGGAGTTGCCGTTGCCTTTTTTGGTGCAACGAAATCAAGAAACAAAAATCTTTTTATCTCAAGTTGCTGTTGTTGTTTCTGCTGCTGCTGCTGCACAGATGATGTTGATGATGTTGTTTGCTCAGGTTTAACGTATTACGTTTATAAAAATAAATTCGAATTGAAATGCAATGCACACAGCAAATATCAAAAGACTTAAGCAACAAACTCATTATACCCGTCATCCATTGAAAATTGCTCTTAAAATGGTTTTTGTCTAAATTTAGGTAAAAGGCAGAAGCTGCCATGCCAGAGCTCCACCAAATGTTTGATCAAGACGACAAGCATCAATCCATGGCCGTCCACTCAGCTGTGTCTCAGAGAGAATAAGTTGCGCTTGAATCTAGCTGGATGCCATGTTCTAAAAATTTAATGTGAATTTCCTTTATGTATAGCTATAGTTAATCAATAACTTATTATCCCTGCAGGCAGGCGCACTGGAATGCAATATTCTATTCTTCAGCTGCAACTGTTGTTGGGGTAATTTGAACGAAGCCCTTCAGGCACGACTGGAGAAGCTTCAAATGCCGTTTAATAGCCATAAAGATGGCAGCAATTGAAAGCCTATATTTTCCAGAGGGATAAAGAGAGAGAGAGAGAGAGAGAGAGGGAGAGAGCGAGGTCAAGGCGAACAGCTGCCCGAGTTGCTGGTAAACTTAATGGGAAATTTGTAATATTCAATATAAATTGGCAGCTATTCGTCGATCACAACGCTTGTTGCAATCTGTGTAAACACAGACAGAGTAAACAAAGCGAACATTAAACAATAACAAATTACATTTCTCACGCGCGGCACGCGTCAGCAGTAAAACAACCCCCATAAGCATGGATGCAGGTGCAGCACACGCTTCCAGCGCATTTTAGGGGTGGCATTCGAAGAGCTTACCCACGAAGCGCTGCGATTCCGAAAAATCACACGAGAACTTGTGCAGTTGGCGGCAATGCGCCTGGGAACGCGCAAATCCATGGCCATGGCCAGGCCGATCATCGCCAGCATGTGAACTGTCCCTGGTAAAGTTGAAGTGAATAGAGAACGAGAGAGAAAGAGAGAAAAGGAGAGGTAGTGCGGTTGGGTAAATTGCTGGCCATCCGCTAATGAGACTGGGAATCAAACACGCACAGCGCTCAGAACCTTCTCTGGAGCGGAATGTGGGCGCGCCGACGCGTTTGTACGGCGTGACGAATAATGTGAGAATGAGAACTTTATTAAAACACACTCACTCTTTCGCTGCGATTTGTCTGCTATGCCCTGCAAAAGAGCAGAGCGTGGGGTGGCCTCTGCTGTTGTAGCTCGCAGCAAATACAATGGAACTTCAAATACAATGCTCGTTTATCTGAAATCTGTTTTGTCTTTTAAATAGCAGGAATGCAGAGTATGTGAACTCCTATGGGATTGCTTATCTATAAAATGCATGAAAACTTGGAGATTGAGATAGATAGATAGATGAATGGATAGAGAAATACATAGCTTATCTTTAATTATTAGCTTCATAGAGAGTAAATATGTTTTGAATATTACATATAAGGGTTTTAGCTCTGGGACTGAGTCATTAAATCAACATATATCTCTGCTTGATTTGGGTATTTCTTAACTGGTTAAGACAGAAGTTAAGGCCTTAGAAGATTAAAATTCAGTTCCTATTCCATTTCACTGAACTCCATTCTCATTCTATATATAAAACTTATTAATCTATTTACTACAGGGTATCTCTTGAGCGCTCACTCTGCTTTCTTTCGCATTACATTCGCCGAAAATTCTCAGTCGCTGCACATTTAGAGCATTCTGAAAATCGCTGAAATGCTTTTCACACGGACAGCTGTGTGTGAAAGAGCTCTCAACGTGGGACTGTGAAAATGAAAACGTTGAGGAAACAGAACAGAACTTTTTACACACACACACGCATACGTGGACAGACACATCTGTATATGGGTCACTGCGTCTGTATATGTTAATGAATTGGTCAACCATTCTGCTGGCTGTTGCTGCTGCTGGTTGCTGCTGCTGTTGCTGCTGCTGGTTGCTGCTGCTAAATGCGCATTACAATTAAAAATTAAAGCATAAGCTCCATAAAAGTTGACAAGCTAAACGCACAATTTGGCAGCAGCTGAAAAGTTTTGTGCTCTTAGCGGGTAGCCAAGCTCGAGCAAGAAAAAAACTGCAACAGAAAAAAAAAACAACTAAAATTGATGCGTTAATTAACGAAAAAAGGATACGGCGCCTTTTGATTTTTTGGGCGAAACTTTTATGGCCAGTCAGTGAGAATATAAAAATCACAAAAAAATAAATGGGAGATGGCCATATGTGTGTGTGTGTGTGTGTGTGTATATATGAAAAGCAAAAGCTGGCTTATTTTATGGGCCGGCGACACCTTTTAAGAGCGCCAATCGAATCAATGTTTTAACACGAGAATACCATTTCCAAAAGCGGGCTCATTAAGCACAGCCGAATAACCCGGATGCCAAAAAAAAAAAGAAGGAAAACAGAAAAAATAATAAAAAACATTTATAAAGGATTGCTCTGAATTCTACGAATGCTACGGCAGCTGCAAATAAAAAAGGAATTGAAATTGGAATTGGAATTCATATTCGTTTGATTTCACAATGCTGCGAAAGTGAAACCAGGCAGAAGCAGCAGGAGCAGGAGGAGGAGCAGCAGCAACAAAATGCCTCGATGCAGCCAACTGACATACATCTACCTGTAGCTCCTCTTCTTCATCTTCTGCTGATGCTGCCTCTTTTTGTTGCCCCCAAAAACAAAAAACAAAACTTTGACAAGCAAAGGCACTGGACAAGTTTTGGCAATTTGAAAATCTCTGCGCTAATTACCAAGCAGCCGGGCAGAAGGAGCCATCGAAGAGCAGCTGCTGCTCCTGCTGGTGCTGCTGCTGCTTTCGTCTTGGCCTGGCTAATTGAACTCATCAATTTGGTAGCTAATGAAGTGGCTGCCAGTGGAGCAGCAGCTGAGATGCTGAACTGTCGCCTCGCATTTGCAACTGCAATTCGTGAGGCGTGCTCCGCTTTTGCCAACGCTCGCCGATTGTTGGGGCCTGATAAGAAGTCGCATAAAACACAAAATGCCAAGTGCTTCCTGCACATGGTAAAAGCCGCCAGCTACCGGCGGCCATTTAATTAGCAGGTTAATTGCCCATGAGGCGGCGCATTTTGACTGCCAGCAACTTCATTAATAACTTGACTTGAGCAGCAGACGCCAACTGCGGCAACAACAGCAACAACAGCAACAACAACAACAGCAGCAACAGCAATAGCAACAGCAACTTCAACTGCAGCTCCAACAGCATTTGTCATAGACAAAGACCCGTTTGGTGAGTCGCTATCGATACGTGGAGACAAATGACAAATGATATGTTGACAGCGTCGCAGCATCAGCAGTTGCTAAATTTTGACACTGGCTTATCGCGGCGGCTGAGATTGCGACTAACTGGACAGCAGACGCATCTGCCAATTGCTCATTGCAAAATATTGTGAAATTGCGATAACCGAGCAGCAGCAGCAGCGGCAGCAGCAACAGTTAGGCCCAGTCAATGCAAACAGCGAACAGCCAGTAGCAGCAGGAGCAACAGGAGCAGCAGCAATATTTCATTGTTATCTGGATCAGTGAAGGTCTTTAAGTGCCCTAAGTAGCTGACTCTTAAAGCTGCCCAGCATCGATCATCGTTGATGCAATTTATCAACAGCATAAGCAAAGTGATTCGCCGGAGCAACGATAATGCGGAATGTGAAGGATTAAGTACTTAATGTGTCGCATCTTCTTCGTGGGACTCAAGAGAGGGATTTAAATATTTATTCAAGCTTTTACCTGCATGCGATAATATATTTTTGATTGATTTATATGTTTATATTTTCATTTTTATTTATTTGTCAAATATAAACTAATTTATTGTGAAATATCTGTCTCCTGCTTCTTTTATATTATATATTTGCAAAAT